ATTCAGATGTGGACCATTTAGCTTTTCGGAAAAGTAGGCAACAGTTTACCTTCTTGCAAAGTAAAGACACCTCCTATGCCAATACCACTTGCATCACATTCAATCTCAAATGTCTTACCAAAATCGAAAGTTGTGAAAAATGCGGTGCTTCACAAAGTCTGTGTTTTCAGCAGTGTGAAATGCTTGGTCTTCGTCATGGCCCCACGTGAATGGAACATCCTTCTTTGTGAGATTGTTAAGGGGTGCAGCGAGGGTGCTGAAATTTTTGACAAAACGCCTATAGAAACTTGCAAGACCATGAAAGCATCGAACTTGGCTCACATTTACGGTGTAGGCCAATCTCTGTATTGCTTTAACCTTCTCTTCATCAACTGAATACCATCTGCGAAAACAACAAAGCCAAGGAAAACAACACGATGCGTGCAAAAGGTGCACTTAGCAATGTTGCCATACAATTTCTCTTCCTCAAAACAGCAAGTACTTGACGGATATGATCAAGATGTTCATCAAATGATTTGCTATAGATCGAATATCATCAAAATAAACAACTACAAACTTGCCAATGAAAGCTCGTAAAACATGGTTCATTAAAGCGCATAAAAGTTGAAGGAGCATTTGTCAAGCCAAATGGCATCACAAGCCATTCATAGAGACCAATTTTAGTTTTAAACGCTGTTTTCCATTCATCACCAAGTTTCATGCGGATTTGATGATAGCCACTACGCAAATCAATCTTGGTGAAAATGATGGAACCACTCAATTCATCTAACATGTCATCAAGTCGTGGAATGGGATGGCGATATCGAGCAGTTATAGCATTGATAGCACGACAATCAACACACATGCGCCAAGAGCCATCTTTCTTTGGAACTAAAAGAACGGGAACAACACATGGTGATAAGGATTCACGAACATACCCTTTGTCCAAAAGCTCTTTTACACATGCCGCTAAGTTTCCTTTGTCTATGTGGGATTGGTGTGGTAAATTTGGACGATTTGGAAGAGAAGCACCTGGTACCAAATCAATTTGATGCTCAATTCCACGGAGTGGAGGAAGTCCATTGGTATCTCATCGGAAAAACATCTTCAAGTCCCTGTAAGAGATCAAGAACAACACTAGGCGTGATGAAGGTAAATCGTTAGTTGAAAGTAGGACCTCCTTGTGCAAGAGCACAAAGAATGGGGCTGTGGTGTTTCTCACTTCTCTCATATCACTCTTGCTCACAAAGAGACACTCGATTGTGGTGGCATGGCATTTAGGATTGGCATGAGTCTTTATGTGGTGGATGGGTTAGAACTCTCTCCCTTACTTGTGTTGGGGATCTCACTCAATTTTCTTTTGTCGATTCCTCTCTTTTCTTGCGAGCCATATCTGAAGCATGTATCTCCTCTGGAGATAATGGAATAAGAACCACCTTCTTGTCATTGTGAATGAAAGTGTGTTTGTTAGACCGTCCAAAATGCACCGAGTCCACATCAAATTGCTGGGGCCGACCAAGCAAACAAATGGCATGCTTGCATGGGGACAATATCACAATCCACCTCTCCATGATAATCACCAATGGAAAATGACAAATGAATCATGGTTGAAACCTTAATCGTCCTGTAATTATTCAACCATTGCATATGGTATGGATGTGGATGGCGACACATGGGCGCAAGCCAAGCTTTCGCAACAAGCAAAGCACTAACAATATTATTGCAGCTCCCATCATCTATGATGAAACGGCACACTTGTCCTTTCACTTTGCATCCGGATTGAAACAAATTATGGCGTTGTCCTTGTTCAAAGAAGACAACAAATTGAGTGGAAAGAACTCGCCTCACCACCAAAGAAGGAGATGGTGTGTTCATTATAGAACGCGTCAAATCAGGAAAATCAGCAAGCAACTCATCAAAATCATCACTAGTAATCTCGTCGAAAGATGGAGAAATAACATCTTGTAATAGGTCATTGTGAGCAAAAGTTGGAATAGGTTGAATGGCTAAACAATTTAGACCTAGCTCAAATGTACCATCCTCTGCTGAATACTCACAAGTGTCAAGATTAAGATCTGCAAATACATTGTTAAACTCGTCCTCCTCTTCACTTTGGGAATCATAAGAACCATCAGCAAGTGCAATAATAGTACGACGATTGGGACATTCAGCTTGCTTATGCCCATGACCACCACACTTAAAACACTCAATCTTGCTTGTCTTGCGTTGGACGGCTACAGTAGAAGAAGTGGGCTGACTTGAACTCACAACTTTACCTTTCACATCCAATTGTTTGGAAGAAGTTGGAAGATATCTATTTGCTCCACGAGATGAAGATTTGGGCGTTGCAGCTCCTTGCTATTGGAATTGAGGCGTGACATCCCCTTGCTATTGGGAATGACGCCATGAAGCGTTGTATTTGTAAGACGTAGCAATTTGCCTTTTAGCCCTCTTTGCAAAATGAACCAAGTCGGTGAGACATGTGTAGGTTGTCATATCCACTTTATCAGCAATAGGTTTATTGAGGCCAACTAGAAACCAAGCCATTGTGGATTCCTCATCTTGATTATCCTCAGATGAAGTACACACATTTCCAATTCTTGAAAATATTCATCAACAAGATGAGTACCTTGCACAAGACGTTTGACTTCAAATGTAGATCACGAGAGTAATATCTTTGGAACAAAACGACGTCGCATTTCTCTCTTCATGTCTTCCCAAGTTATACGAACATGCCCAACTCTCTCGATATTCAAGACGGACCTGATTCCACCAAGTTATGGCATAGCCTTTAAACTCAATGGTCGCAAGCTTTGCCTTCTTTTCAGCAGAGTATTTATACAAATCAAATATTTGTTCCACCTTGGTCTCCCATTCAAAATAAGCATCAGCATTCTCCGTCCATTTGAAAGGGGAATAGACACTTTCATGTTTCTTAAACCATCATCATTACGACGACGATGACGGTCACGATAACCATGATGGCCACCACCATGTCGATGATCATCCATGTCGGACAACATATCATCATCACCATCATAATCTCTACCTCCAACTAGAACGCGCCGAGAGCACGACCAAAACCATGGCCAAACCCACCCACCCCATGTCCATGACCGGTGAGACACGACGTGGTGCCTCGTTATCCTCATTGTCATCATCCTCATTTGGTGGTGGTTCTCTATGAGGCATGTTCAATTGGAGAGTTTGTAGTTGTTGCATCAAATCATTCATTTTTGTGTACGCAGACTCACGGAATTCCTCCATCGAAACAATGGCACCATCTCCACGCCCCGCCATATTAGTAGAGGGAAAAAGGACAATATATATGTGGAATATATGTGGAATCACTCCCTCACCACTTGCTGAACAAGTTCTTTCTCTTCCTAGAAAGGGCAAGAACCGGGGCTACAATCTATAGTGGAAGAGTGAAGAGACTACGTGCAAATGACTCACGTTGCTTTTTAAGTGGAGCTTGGTGGGGTAATATGTAAATGGAATGCGCTAAAATATAGTAATGCAAAACCGAATAATAATCCAAGAACTCAAGTCTAAGTTGTTGAATATAAAGGAAAAGATGCTCAAAGAAAGGAACAAGATGTAGGGAAGTGGATAGATGAACACCAATTGCACCAACCGAAACTTGTTGTTGCCCAAACCCCTTTGTGGTGTGTTGAACATAATTCTCTTTTATTTCTTTTCTTTCCTTTTTTTTGAACAAGAACTCGTTGTTTTCAATCCTTCTTTTGACCCATATACATCTTTTCTTTTAACCTTTGTGAGAAACGCATCACAACTTTCAACTAAAGGAGCATATAAGGATCAACTAAGATGAACGGCGCAGCACAAAAACAAGAAACTCGGGTGGGGAATTTGTGGCGGGTAGAAAACAAGGGTGGAACGGGTGGTTTTTTTTAGTTATATATATGCAGCAAGCAATGACGATTAGAACAAGGGTGGGATGAGTGGGTACATGCAGCAAGCGATTTGATGATTAGAACAATGATAACAACTAGAATGATGTGGAAAAGAAAAATTCAGCAACTAGACAAATCTTAAAGGATTAAAACTCGATAAAGCAAACTACAAAATCAGTAGCACGCATGAATTTGGGCTGTAGGTTTTCTTTTTTGGCTATTAGTGGACAGTAGGTATATAAACTCTATCCTACCAAAAACAAAAACAATCCTAACGAGTAAACGGAGGCTTTGGTACCAGATTGCCACCTCCGACGACCACCGCGGCCATGCATCCTCGATGTTGAGGAGCAGGCTTTGGCTGGGAGAAGATAAGATTTGTGTCTATGGCATGGTGTGAGAAGAGATGAGTGGAGCCAGGTGAGAGGAAAGATAGGAGGGAGGGTTTTTTTTTTGTCTAGGAGCTACCTTTTAGCTGGGATCCAAACAGGCAAGGATGAATTGCTAGCTGGCTAATTTTTAGTCACAACTAACCATTAGCACTAGTCCATCTAAACAGATCCTAAGCCCTTACCTCAAGTCCTCAATGGTTCTGACATTCCGTGACAAAATTTATGCGGGCCGGAATGGTACTCTGATTATTGGAACATCCGAGTTCATGGACCCATGGGGTGTTGAGATTAGTTGACATTATTCGCCTTGTTCGCTTGAGCTACTTTTCAGTCATAGAACAATGTTCTCCTCTCACAAACATTTCAACATAAATATCAGCATAAATCAAATTTCAGCATAAGCGAACAGGATCCCAGCTCGGCCCATTCTTTCCATCCACAAAGTTCCTAGTTCAGCGCCTCAACGGTCACCGTTTTGTCGAAACTCGTAACTACGTGTCTCAACAGAAGAAAGCGTAATCCTAACACAATTACGCCAGCGGCTGGATGCCACCTCACGCCTCACTGAAGCAAAGCGTCGCCGCCTTCCACTGGGCCCCAGGCAGCGCGCCTCCAAGCGCAAGCTGCAAAAGGCGGGCCGAGAGGCGTTTCGGTTTGATTTCGCCTGCCCACGCCGCCGCGAGGGGAAGACCGACGGCGCACCACCCAACCCATGGCGGCAGCGACGCTCCCATCCGCCTCCGCCAAGGTGGCGGTCCGGAATCTAGCCCGCGTCGCGTCCTCGCGCCAACCGCTCCTCCTCCTCCACGCCTCCTACCGCCGCGGCCGCGGCCTCCACCCCCTCCCCCTCGCCGCCTCCGCCGCGTCCCAGGGCGCCCACCTCCGACGCGCGCTTTCCGTCTCCGCCTCCGCGACCGCTGGAGGGAACAACGACGCCGCACCGCGCGCGGCAGAGAGGGAGTACGACTACGACCTCTTCACCATCGGCGCGGGGAGCGGGGGCATGCGGGCGTCGCGCGTTGCGTCCGCCCTCTACGGCGCCCGCGCCGCCGTCTGCGAGATGCCCTTCGCCACCGTCGCGTCCGACGCCCTCGGCGGCGTCGGTGGCACGTAAGCAGACGCCCCTCTCCCACTCTGTAATCACTAGTTCAATACAATTCATTTGTTTTCACGGCGAATGTTTGGTTCGCCTTATGCGTTTGTGCTCAATACACTTAGCTCCATGAATGATCAGTTGCTTTGCGATCGTTAATTTAGTATGAGTGGAGACGATGGCATGACCTTTAAGCACAATCTCGTCCCATCTATTTTTATGCGCATCCCGACCAACGATCAGGTGACCACTATATGAATGTGAAAACTGATCAGTACATTCACCACTTAGAGCACATGTTTTCGGAAGCCATTAACATCATAGTATCGTTGCATTCAGAGATACTATAGCTATATGCTATGAAGAAAAAAAAAAGAGAAAACTGTAGAATGTGTACGAGCTAAGCTGGACACAAAATTTGCCATACATCAATCGACAATGGCAGGTTGCAGTGAGCAGGTGCAGAAGTGACAAAGAGCATACATTTTGCAAACTACTATGGACTGTTGATTACTGCCATGATGTACTGAGTTAGCATGACATTTTACTGCTATTAGCATCCTATTGATTGATTTTCTTTTTAACTGGTTATGCTGTTTCATCTCCCTCCAACTTGAAGACAGGCTCCTCATGCTACAATACAAATAATGTTCATAATAACTATGTTTAATTGATCGGTCTTTCCTTGAACTCTTCTTAACTCATTTTGGTGTCAAAACTTTTCATATAAGATGTTAGTTTATTTGTATTTCAGATGTGTGCTTCGTGGCTGTGTTCCGAAGAAACTGTTGGTGTATGCATCCAAATACTCTCATGAGTTTGAAGAGAGCCGTGGCTTTGGGTGGGTGTATGAAACTGATAACCAACAAAAATTTGGAGTTGCAGCGCCTTGTGGTAATTCAGACAAATACACTGAAGAATTCAGGGGTTACTGTAATTGAAGGCCGCGGAAAGGTTGGGTAATGTTTTAATGGAGATTAACTTTCTACGAATAACTTCCTGTTGAGGGATTCATGCAATAATGATAGCAATTGATACATAATCTGTTTAAATTATGCAGATTGTTGACCCACATATACTGTCAGCGTGGATGGCAAGCTTTACACTGCCGAAAACATACTTGTAGCTGTTGGCGGTCGGCCGTCCAAACCAAACATCCCAGGGATAGAGCATGTCATTGATTCTGATGCAGCATTGGATTTGCCTTCCAGACCTGAGAAGATTGCAATAGTGGGAGGTGGATATATTGCTTTGGAATTCGCTGGTGTTTTCAATGGCTTGAAGAGTGATGTTCATGTTTTCATCCGCCAAAAGAAAGTGCTGAGAGGCTTTGATGAGGAGGTGAGAAAGTATCATAAAATAAAATACTTGGATATCAAAATTGAAGGTGCTAATCTGAGTTGGAAGATCTATGCCTTGAGTTATATCCTAACTGCTTTGTTTAGGTCAGGGATTTTGTTGCAGAACAGATGTCTTTGAGGGGTGTCAAATTTCATATAGAACAAAGCCCTGAAGCAGTAACTAAGTCAGATGATGGTTTGCTGTCTCTGAAGACAAACAAAGAAACTGTCAGTGGGTTCTCACATGTCATGTTTGCAACAGGTCGAAAGCCAAACACAAAGGTTAATATCATTTTACCACGTCATTTCTGCTTATGTTTTATGACATAGATATAGTATTCTCTTTGCATGCATCTTGATACAAAGCGTATGTTTTTAGAATTTGGGTCTGGAAAATGTCGGGGTCAAAATGGATGAGCATGGTGCTATTGTGGTAAGTATGTCATATAATGAGATAAAATTTTGTGCATTTACTTGGACTTAAAAACTTTCCTGACTGTTGATCATCATTAAATGGCATTGGGAACTCATGGAATAAATCTGTCATTCTAGGTTGATGAGTATTCTCGGACTTCAGTTGACTCAATCTGGGCTGTAGGGGATGTCACCAATAGATTGAACCTGACGCCAGTTGCATTAATGGAAGCTGGGGCAATAGCAAGGACCATTTTTGGCAATGAACCTACCAGAGCAGATTACAGGCACGTTTGTATATGATGTACTTCATGTTAGTTCATGAAAACCCATATGCCCCAACCTTTTACTGAATGTCAGTCATGTAAACTACTTTTGGCTATAAATTTTGAAATAAATTTGTACTTTGTGCTTTTTGATAGTGCCGTGCCATCTGCTGTGTTTTCTCAACCACCAATTGGGCATGTTGGCCTTACTGAAGATGAGGTAATATAATTCACAATTGTATTCATTTGAAATTCATAACTTCTTTTTGTCAGTCTATGATTAATTGAGTAAAACATTACGCTTGCAGGCTACTGAAACATATGGTGATATTGACATCTACATATCAAATTTCAAACCTCTCAGTCTAACTCTTTCTGGTCTACCTGATTGTGTGTTTATGAAGGTTATTGTGTGTGCCAAAACAAACAAAGTCCTTGGAGTGCACATGTGTAACACCCTAAAATTTGCATGGTTTTAAAATAGGAGAAAATGATTTAATTATGCATTTTGTGAGCATTGAAATTTAGAAAAATAATAACTTTGTTGAAATTAAAATCAAATATAGGTCTACATACATGTCTGTGCATTCATGCTGTTGCATATTATTTTTGAATTGTGTGGTTTGAAATCAAACTTCAAATTGATTTGAATTTGTATTTCAAAATTGGTTTGTAAAATTAGAAAAGAAAAAGAGAAAGGATTTTTTCCCCTCCCCTCTATTCGGCCTGTTGGCCCAACTCCCGCGCGGCCTGCCCTCTCTTCCGCTTCGGCCCACACCGCAGGCCCAGTTCCTCTGCTTCTCCGTAGCGGCCCAGTGAGCGGCCCAGCATCGCGCCGCGCCCCTCCTTCCCCTTCTCTTTCGCTGACAGCCGGGACCGCCCTGTTAGGGCCTTCTTCCTCGCGCATGTCCGCCCCGGACTCCGTCGCGCCGCTGGGAGTCTGTGCCACCCACGCCTCCCTCCTTGCCTTGCGCCGCAAGCCGCACCTGGCTATAAAAACTGGATGCACGCATCGTGCCGCTCCGGTCCCAAGCTTCGGAGCCGCAGCTGCCCTCGCATTGTGCCGAGCCACGCTAACCCTAGCACCGTCGCCATCTCCACCTCCCTCGCCGAGCACCACGCTGCTCTTGTTCGCTTCACGTCGAGGTAAGCTACCTGGCCGAGCTCGATGTCATCTCCTCTCTCTCCCAGTGCCCTTGTTTTGTTGTTTCATGGTCCGTAGACTGTATTCTATGAGCGCCGCCGTCTCCGGCCATGGCGCCGCCGATCACACCGGCATCTTTCATCTCCCTCTGATCTGATCTGCGTCGTCCGATTCCGATCCAACGGTCCAGATCTTAAGATACCCCTTCGCCTGTCGTTTTGCAAAAAGGCCCTTATAATTATTTGGATCCCAACCCGCCGTCCCTGCATTTATTCTAAAAAGCCCCTATATTTTTTTGTTTTTATGCCCGCAGTCCCTGTTTCGGTTTAAAATGAGATTTTAATTATTTTTAATTCGAAAATCAAGTTTCATCTATTTACAAAATTGCCACTACTGTCTGTAGGCCATAAAATCTTCGTTTGAACTCCGATTTGATCCGTTCAACTTACGTTAGGTTCGTAATTCCATAATCTACATGTTCATACTACTGTTAAGTATATTTTCAACTTTTAAAATTCTAGGTTAGATTTAATCTATTATTTTACTAAGGGAAATCTTGTTTAATTCATAACTTCTTTGTTTTAGCTTCGATTTTTGTGATATTTGCGTCTGTGTGTTCATAGCGAGATGTAGATTCGTTTTATAAACTTCTCATCTTGATTTTATGCATATTGGTGTATTGTTCTAATCAATAGCTTTTGTTTGCTATGCATGATTGCTTCTAGATGCTTGTGTGTTTCTGTGATTGTTGAGTATAGACGGTGAGCAATTCGTGGGTGATCAAGAGTACTACTTTGACGAGCAGGATCAGTAGGAGCACTTTGTTCAAGGCAAGTATAATATGAGACTCCTTATTACCTATTCACTTTAATGCAATCTCAATTCATATGCATATGTTAATGAACCGCTTGGAGTCTATTTACCTTGATATTGATTATCCTGTCCTTAATTTACCTATGGGTTTTGCATGTGGGTAGTACGCTCAGTTTGCTCCAACTAATATTGATTAAAGAATACAATTAAAGATATATGCAACATGGTATTAAAAGATGGTTTTTAGCAACATGGAACCAAGGGGGCTAGAGCATTGAGCCTTTTCTTAGGGTGCTCTAGTTTCTCTCCATAAGGACTCATCTTTAAGTGACAACCCAGGACTTACAGTACAACAATGAGGACCACATGGCTCTGGTCTTAGTCCAGTATCTTGCTCTTTCTAGTTTGTAGCAGTTTACCGAAAGGGCAAGAGGGGCATACTAGGCTGGGTATGGGCCTCATCCCCAGGGTGTGTACTATGCTACGAGTATTAGTGCCATTTTTGGAGATGACACCATAACACTTGGGAGATAGAATCCTTAGTGGCTGCTCCTAATTAGAACGACTGGGGAAAAGCTTCGTAGTGTACCCTGCCTGCTCACTTTGAAAGTGTTTTAGGAGTAATTAACCCGGGCATATGGGTAACACGACTCATGGTGAAAGAGTACAACCTCTGCAGACTGCAAAACTGATATATCAGCCGTGCTCATGGACACGAGCGACTTGGATTCTTAGTGAATAGTTGGTTACTCGGATGGTTTGGATTATGATTAAAATTGACGATGTCTCTAACTATTAATATTTGGGAGCCTAAGCATAACTTAGCAACTTATGATTAATAATAAAATATAATCAACTAAAAGTGTTTACCACAATTTAGCCGTGTCAAGCCTTTTGAGCCTGGATCCCCTCATGTTATGATTGCTCAGCGGTAGTAGCTTATGCTTGCTTTATTTTAATACTTTGGCAAAATCCTGGATGGGTACCAGATGGAGGTTCTTCAGTGGAGTTTTCCAAGAGGTGCTAGGTTTATGATCAATCAGTTGATGATTCATGTGGTGTTGGAGGCTTCGTTAGAAGAGTAGAGTTAAAGTATATACTGTAAAGTAAGACTATGTCATTTGTAACAAATATTTATGCGCTATGTAATAAAGACATTGTCTTTGATATTACCCCTTCATTTGTAACTATATGTGTGAATTGAAAACCTGGGCACACATATGGGATGTACCTAGTTTTGTTCTTAAAACTGGGTGCGACAATGTGGTATCAGAGCTATGTCGACTGTAGGACCCAAGCCTAGTTAGAAAATGGTCGTTTTAAGGTTCAGAATTTGCCATGAAATCCTTGATCTATGAACCTTGCTATTGTCTTCTATGCTATATTCTTGTCTTTGCTGTTCATCTCCTCCTTGTTGCTACAAATTCTTGTCCTTATTTCCATCCTTGCTTTGAGTTGCTTTTAGAGCTATCACTTACCACAATCTTGTGCAACATCAAGATGGAGCCTTAGAGTTTGAACCCTTGATACAACAAGAACGCTAGTAACATAAGTAGAGTCATTGAGTCCTAATGCTTGAATTGTGAACGCTTAATGTTTGAATGGTTGTCTTGATGTTCATGCTTGATTTGGATATTTGTAATGATTTTGTGGGTTATGCTCATAATTTCATTTAGTTTACATGATAAGGCATAAGGACCAATGATTAGATAGTTGGGTTGTTTTTTCTCGTCTCTGCGCGTGCTGTTTTCTGAGCAGTCAGTGTTCATCGGGTTATATCTCCAAAGGTAGATGCCCAAAAGTCATGAGAGTTTTATGGATGAAAGAACACTTCTGTATTTTTCATATGCCTTGCCCAAAAGTCATGAGAGTTTTATGGATGAAAGAATACTTCTGTATCTTTCATATGCCACTGGAATCACCTTCATATCTATTATGGTTTGGGAGCTATGACCTCTACAAGTGAAGTTTCTGCACTGTCTGGGAGTCTAAATAGTTTCGGTTGTGTTCTATTTCTGACTAACTTATCCTCAGAATCTGGCAAGGTGGGTTATACGAAAGTTGTAGAGAATTTCATAAGCTTTCTAGCCAAATAAGGAACGCCTTCATATGATTTCTAGAACTTGAGATATGGCTATCTTTCTGAACTGCTACTGGTAGTTCTCGTCCAGAAAATTTCAGATTGATTGTTTTATCATGTGATCTACTTCCGGATCATGGATTACAACCAATAATTGTGCTAAATATTGCAAAAAGATGGTTTCTACTAGGAGAAGTGCTTCATGTGATGCTAGGAGGAATGCCCCCAATGCTAATCCATCGCCACTAAATCCTCCAACTATAGAGTAATCTATGGTGATACAGACTCAATTGTTACAGACCTTTGTTCAGAATGTATGCATCAACCCACATCAAGTACCACCAAGGGACAAGCGTGGTGAATTTATGAAGGGACAGCTGCCAACATTCTCTCATGCAAGCGACCCATTAGAAGTTGATGATTGGCTTAGAGCTGTGGAGCGACAACTTAACATAGCTCAGTGTAATGACCATCAGAAAGTGCTTTATGCCTCCGGTCAACTTCAAGGAGCAGCTTCAGACTGCTGAGAACTATTTTAGATTGAGAAAGATGTAAATCAGATTTGTTGGGAAGATTTCAAGACTGCCTTTAGATTTTATCATAACAAATTCACTTAGCTGTCACGTTATGCTCTAGGAGAGGTGGCTAATGATGCCAAGAAACAAAAATGCTTCTTGAAAGGATTGAATGATGGACTTCAACTGCAGTTGATGACTGTTGTGTATCCTGACTTCCAAACTTTGGTGAATAGGGCCATTTTGATTGAGAACAAGCGTCAGGAAATGGAAGAGAAGAAAAGAAGAATTCAAAGCCAATCTGTAGGTACTAGGATTTTAGCAAACTACACTCTCCAGCAAGAATTTCAGCAGAGGTACTAGGAACCAACTAGTCAGTGGGATTTTGATCCTCCTCAACAACTCCCTCAATACCAGCAAGAGCAGCAGTATGTGAACCAGAGTCCACCCCAGGAACCTCTCATCAACTCTCCAATGAAGGATAGTGTGCCCAACACTCCCTTCAGGCAAGAAGTGCTACCGCTGTGGTGAACCCGGTCACTATGCAAGTCAGTGCCCGAAGATGCCAAACAAGTAGCAGCCCCAGAATGTAAACCACAAACAGCGGAACCATGTGCAAGGCAGAGTCAATTATATGACAATAGAATCTGCACAAGAAGCTTGAGATGTTGTGTTTGGCATGTGTCTAATAAACTCTAGCCCTACATTAGTTTTGTTTGATTCTGGAGCTTCATATTTCTTCATTGCACATCGTTTTGTTAAGGAGCACAATATACCAAAGTGTCCTATGAAGAAATAGATGATAGTTGACTCACCTTGTGGGGATATGCAAGCTACT